TCTCACAGCTTGGTGAACATGAGTCAGAGCCCCAGCACAATAAGGACTGTCTTCTCCAGAACAGCCTGGTTAGCTGTGATTACAAAAAGCAAATGAAGAGCAAGGAAAGCAAAACCGAGTTTCTTTAAGGAAAAAACTACATGAGAGGGGGCATTAATGGGGTTACAATGAGATACTAAAATGAGAAACATCTTTCCTTTTCAAAAGAGGGAAAATTAAAACCTAGTTATATGATGTCTCAAGTGAGCTTTTAACAAATGCATTTTACTGTCCTCTGAGTAACAGCAAAAGAAATTGTGGCATAGGTAAGTTTTGTCAGAAATCCAAGCTTTGGATTAATCAGTGGCTTCTGATCTTTCTCCCAGTGCTACAGCAAGTTGAAGAGTTTCACGAGAAGTACAATGACACCAGATCTCTAGTATCTGATGTGCTGGAGCAGCTCAGCGAACAGGACATGAAGCTGTCAGACCTGGAGGAGGCATTAGACCAGGCACTTGACTACGTTATGCAAACGGAGGACATAAATAAGGAAAACACAGCCAATCTTCAAAGGCGTGAGGTACTATGCAGTACATTTACCATAACTGTTGTCTGTGAACACTCCATCTCTGCCAGTGCTTAAAATAGTAGATTGCAAACAATTTAGTTTCAGGAATCACCCCACCAAAAAAAAGAATTTCTTGGACCACTCAGTGGGATGAGTTTGACTCTCCAGTTCTAAGCAGGAAGTTGTGAAAGTGCAAGGTACTATTATTTATTCATGGAGTGGCAATAAATGAGAAGTTTTTGCATGGCACTTCTCAGCAGGCCAAGGGAGAGATGGATATTAATGCCTGAACTAGGAAGAATTACAACAAAACCCAAGAAGCTTAAAATTCCGTGTAGCATGGCTACTATAAGTATTGTGGTGGGATTGTTTCACCTGTTATGTACGGATTTATAACGTGGAAGAGCTTCATGCTCACAAAAGAATAGAATTATATTCTAGTAAAACAATTATTTGCACTGCATTCGTGCCCTAGGCTGAGTGCATTCATACTGTCTCATCCCAACTTTCTCTCTGGTCCTCTTTAAACAAAACGCATCCCCATGTTTTCAGGAAGAGCAGACAATTGTCCTTGCATCTTCACGCACAAATCCATTCTCGACCTGCTCCACAACGGATACCTTGAAACTGGGTTTCCTGCTTGCTGGGTGAACAGCCTAGCTGTAAGGCTACAGCAGTTTTCCCTTATGCTCCGTTCAAATGAATAGTTGCAGTAATTTGAACAAAGAAATCACTCCAGAGGAGAGCTCAGAGGAGACCTGTCCCCTACAGCACAGAAGGGGTGCATGTTTGCCTCTAAGTGGTGGTATTAGTTTCAAATCCCATCTGGCTGATGAGGAAATTGAATTTTCAGGTCTCTTATCCCAGAAAAGTACCCAATCCATCAGCCATACAAAAAGACTACTTTTTGCTCCTCCCAGTAGTTTTGTGACTCTTTCTCTGTTTTCTTTAGTTTCCTTTAAAGGATGCAAAACCAGAACGTCTCACCTAAAATTTTTCTCTTAATTTTTTTTTTTTTTTATCAAGGAAGAAAATGACAAAGAGAATAATTTTAGACTATTTGAATTGAACTGTTTTCATGCCAATGCCTGAAATTGTATGGATTCTGGAGGAAAAAGGTTTAGGCAGCAATTTTGTGATTTGAAGAATAATCTTGCACATTCAGGCCAACCTCTGGGTTTCATAGCATCAGTGGCTGAGTTTTGAGCTCTTGACATTTGCAGCGCTAGAAGTTCATGCTGATGTGGAAGGGGCAATAATTGAATAGAGAAATCAGGCCTGCTGTTCTCGTGAATTCTTCTACAAGCAGCTTGGGATCCTTATGTATAAAGCCTCTTCTGTTGTTCCATTGTTTCATAATTACAGTGCCAAGCTGCAGCTTGTCTCGCATTTGTGAAGCAAAGCCTGAAGTGTGCAGTTGCAATTGTTCACTGTTTTGAACCAGTTGGATCTTCATTATTCCTCACAATGAAGGCAGCTGTTGTGCAAAAGGGACTGTTCACATTACAGTGAAGGAAAAGAGATCTCTGTACTGTAGATTTAAAAAACCTCCAGGAAAAAAACTAGTCTCCAGACTACTATGAAAAGTCCAGGTTTAATTTGTCTCTGCTGGCAGTGCACTGAATAATGCTTCATTCTAATAATTGCTCATGGTGTAATATAAAATGAAATTAATAAATTAAAAACACCCAAACAAACCATTTCTTTCACAGAGACAAGAAAATGCAAAGACTTATAATATGCAGCTATTAGAGATGTCTGGGAAAAACTTAGACATCAAATTTGTCTAAGATCTATTTAGTTCATCACTTCATCTTTTGAATTAACTTTAATACATTTAACAAAAATGGTGACACTGTATTTTAGCAATTCACAGATGGTTTTGGATGTGATTTAATTCTATTTTATTTTTTGTAGAAACAACATGAGAAAATAAAAGAGCAAACAGATGAACTGAACAGCATTCTGCTAAGTGCCACAACTGTTTTGGCAGGACCACAAAAGGTCAGCTCTGAGCTAAGTGAGGTAATAAAGGTAAGTGCCTGAGTGACTTGTTTAAATGATATGTCCTGATTTTTTGAACTTTTAAGTCATGCATTTAGACCACTAAATAAAAACCTCTCCTTTTTTATACCGCTTCAATGAAATACTGATGAATAATTTAAAAAAAAAAAAAAAAAAAAAAAGTATATATCTGCCTGGATGAAAGGTCCTGTAATTACATTTTACTCCCTCAGAAAAATAATTATATTGTAAGGACACCTTACTGTAGGCAGAGCTGAATGAAGAATTTTGCTGTAGAGTTCTCAACCATTTCATTACAAGCAGCTGTCAAAAGATGCTCTGGTAAAAGACTGCACTATATGCTAAATTCCTTTTCTCATGCCTGCGAGTGAAAGAGAAGGGTAAAGATCCCAGGTATCAGTGTTAAAAACAGCCGCTGTCAGAGTGTAAAACATATATAAACAGATTGTCTTATAGAAATTCTCTTCTGGAACTGTAGACTAGTATCCAGAATGATGAATGAGACAAGCTGTTGTAGGAAATTTTTAGAAATTTTAGGGGTTTGGGCTTTCTATGAAAAAGTGACGAAAATAAAACTGGGATTTTGCTAACTAAAATATTTACCAAAGCTGCTTTTTTTTTCATGTTTTATTTTAAAATTTTGAGATAATTTAAGACAAATGAAAATTCTCCACAAACATTCATTTTGGTCATAGTTGCCCACTTTTTTTTTAACACAAAAGCAAGTATCAGAAGTCATTAATTTTTCTTTGAAAAAGTAATTTGAGAAAACAGAAAGAAGGCAACTTGCTTTATAACCATCCCTGGGTGATCAAGCAGTATGATTTTTTTTTTCACCTGTGTTATGTGCAAAACAAATTGCTGTTTATCATTTCAGGTTCCCCACTCCTGTGGGTAAGTTTAGACATAGGGGACGTTCACACTGCAGGGAAGGAAGGAAGTAGTATGTGAACATCATACATCTTACATCTTCTCTTTGCCTATACATTCATATAGGCAGTATTTAGGTGGACTCATTTACATATTAGACTAACCTAAGGTGTCTTAGCATCAGGGATGTCTCTGTGCAAGGAGGCAGAAAGGAGCCAGGGCCAGGTTTCCATGATGTGGCAGAGCTGTACAGCGAAACTCTCTGCCCCTCTCCAGCAATTGCCAAGTTACCCCCGGGGCACAGGCACTGCCCCGTGCTATTCCCAAGGAGGCAGGTTTGGGAGAGGGGTAGCTCTCCAAAGGAGTGCCAGGGCCGGTGTAGTAACGGGATGATGCGTAAGCCCACCCACCCCAGCACTATTTAGTTTCCTTCTATAGGCAGCATTTAGAAGTCCCAAAAACTAATTTCTGGCAGTCTTCACAGAGGAGAGGTTAAAAAAAATTTAAAAACTATGGGTTTCACCTCCCAATTCAAGAAGAACCACAATGAAGGTTTTAATTACTTCACCTATTAGCCACACACTCTGAAAGAGTTGTCATTGGCACCATTCTGGAGGAAAAGTAAAGGATAGTAAGACATTTCTCAACTGTTTTTCTTTGATATTTTACACATATCTCTCCAATACCTTTTTAAGGGATTCATGGAATTTTGGTTGATCTTTATCTTCCTGTATTTGTCTTGCCATACTGACATTCATGGGACAGAATCTTTTTGATCTTTCCTTTTTTTTATTTGTTAAAAATATAACATCAAACAAATATAACATAAAATAACAACATTATAATACTATGAAAGGTAAAATAAAATATAATCATCAAAATACAGACTTGATTTTTTACAACTTTCTTCTACTTTCCTTCCTTCCATATTTTGTTCAGAATGCGTCAGGCTTCTACGCAGAAATAGATGGAGCGAAAAAGGAATTACAAGAAAAAATAGCCAATCTGTCTCTGTTCGATGATGATTTGGTAGAAAAGGCTATGCATCATGCACACAACCTAAGAAGACTTGCTGATGAGCTGGACCGGTAAAATTTAACTTCAGCAGATTCTGTTCATACAAGTGCTACTGACTGAACAGCTGAATGAACTAAAAGACAAGCAGAATCACCGTGACATTAGATATGCTGTCTGTAAATAGGCACTAAGCAAATCACTGTTAAGTCACGTATGGAAGGACTTGTCGAGGTCCGGAGGGAACAGCTGAAGTCGAGCTAAGCAAAATCTATTAGTCTTTTCAAAGAATAAACAAACATATGTCTTGAGTGACATTCTCCCCTTTCTAATTTGGCATGATCTTCTCCTCCCATAGCAAGAGAATAGGAAAGGTAGGTTACTGAGAAGTAAAATAATACAGGCAGATTAGATGGGGTTTGCAGAAACAGCACACGTCGGTAAGTTCATTCACAGTAAAAGACGTTTAGCATTTTGGGCCAAAAAAGGGGCTTTGGGATAGTTTTTGTTGAAGAACTGGTTTACAAATGCAATAGTTCTGAAAACAGGTTGTGTCCCAGTGAAACTGGCCCACTGTAACCCCAAAAACTTACTGTAAGTCTTCCTAGTTTGCTGGAAGATACTGAATGCATCAACTTTCCCTCAATTTACTAAAAAGCCACTTTTAGACAGATTTGAAATATGACTTTATTTGCAATTGGGACTACCCATGGAAAAATCACTGCTGCAAATGCATTCTTAAATACAATATTTCACCAAATTCTACCTTGAGTAACATCATGGATATATGCTTTTGGAAGATAAAACTACTCTTCAAGTAGATTATCTAAATACCAGTTGTTTCTTAATATTAGTATGCCCTCGATAGGAGATTAAAACAGAGAAAAAAAATAACAGATGGTTTTCTTTTATTCAATTCTATAAAGCTGACATCTGAAACTCTGTTCTATAATGCCACACAAACTACAGACAGCCTAAAAAACAAACAGTGTGTTCACTCTGAGATCAGCTAACTGGGGGCAGCAGAATCACATGAAAGAAAATACCCCATATGGCTAGCCTTCACCCCTTACCAAAATAATTTAAAAACGACTACCAAGTCCAACACATTAGGAATTTAACAGAAAGCAAACAGAAATAATTGTGAGATATCCAGATGGAAATGTTCTGACTCTTTTATTTGTTGTGAAGATTGTCCTGCAGTGAAACTTTAATCCTTTAAAAAATTTAGCCTGTCTTCAAATAATTTTGGGGGTTTATGGGTTTGCTTTATAAGCCTGTTAGGCTTTTATTTGGTAGAGTTTCTTCTTTTGTCTTGGGGGAACACAGGAGGAAATTGTTGCAACAGCACTGAATCTGGAAGCTCAATAAGCCCTCAGTGTGCAAACTCTTTGAAGTGAATACACACACGTGTATATTTAGAGTCTATACCTAACATATACTCTGCATTCTGTTTATCACAAAAATATAAAAAATTAATATTTACTCAAAGTTGCTAACAGCTGAAGGTTGAGTCGAAACCAACTGCTGTTTGGAATCTCCCTGGAAGACCAGTTATCCCCTAAAATGCAAATCAAGCTCTACCATGCCAGCAAAGCTATCTTATATTTTTGAAATCTAACTTTTTGCAAAGTTTAATGATCACGGGCAGGTCTTCATCTGATCCTCCCCCTTTCCCCACTTACTTTTGGAAAGTATAAACACCCCAGTGATACAGCTGTCCTCATCACTGGCACACACACAGGTCCTTCCGTTCACGGCCAGGAGTTACTCTAAGGAAGGACAACTGATAGATGTTATTCTGTTAATTTATGTAATATCTAATCTAGATTTTAAAAAAAAAGATAAAAGTTCAGTAGACACTTGTTGCTGCTCATATCGACGTTAAGGGCAAAATTCCCTGAGTTAAACCACTGGGAAGTACCTTCTATCCACATAGTTCTCACCTGCTTCAGGCTGACATAAGTCATCATGCACATTGAAAAGACAACTACTTAGCCCAAGTATATTTCTGTGCATGATTATGTAGTCAGAATTCACAGAATGTTAAGAAAATTAATCCATTTGAAACTACTTCGATTCAGCTTGGTTTCTTCCTCCTTTTACTCTCTTTTTACCAGGAATTTGTATGGTGTTGACACAAATGGGCTGGTACAAAGGGCAATAAATGCTTCAAATGTGTATGAAAACATTGCCAGTTATATTGAAGAAGCTAATAAAGCTGCATTGCTGGCACTGAACACAACAAACCGGGTCAATGATGTGAGTAATTTTTATAATATCAGCTTTTACTTTGCAATGCTTCAGGGACTTTGGACACCTAAGTGTAAAGAAGATCTAGCTTATTTGTCAGCATTGAACTTCCCACGGCACATTTTGCTTCATTTACTATCTTCTGAGTTAAATCCTAGGTGGTTATTTATTCTGCCAGCCTAAAGTCCCCTGGTATTCAAAAAGATGCAACAGGTTCTTCTGTCCAACAGTACAGGGTGATGCCGCTCTGTGTCATCACGCAAATTGAGGCATTTCTGTGAAAGCCCACACAACTCCCTGGCCCCGTCGGAACCTGAGCTGGCATTTAGTGCTCCAGTCCTCATGTTCCACACAGCACCATGTGGCAGGAAAGGTGGTCAAGACATCTAACAGAAGCATGACTGTTTCTCATTGAAAATGAAGTTAAAATGGGGCAAAGAGCCCACTCACATGCTCAGTGCAGGGAGGAGCATGCTAATTTTGTCTCTGGCCTTGCTGTTCTAAAATATTTTAGATGTATTTTTCCATGTATATCATTTCCAACCTATATATAGGCTACTTAACAGCAACTGATTAGTGGGGTAGCAAGAGGACTTGGTTAGATTACAGGGACCTGAACCCCCCAGGAGCCGCGGGATTTCAAGTCCAGCACTCTGCCTCCAGCATGCTACTGGGGGCTGCAGGGCAGCTCCCCATACAGTGCAAGTGTTCATCACCCATCTGAGATGATGGTAGAAATGAACAGTCACGGTAGCATGAGTATCATGTTGACCATATTGGAGATGATAAATTAAGAGGACTTCTGTGCTTTCTGCATCGTTGTTATTCAGTGTTGCTGTGTGGAAAAGCATACATTTCTCTAAACTTCAATTGCAATCTATGGAAAAATTTGCTTTTCAGACTTTTTTTCTAATCCAGCTGCCAATCTTAAATGTTAACAGCCAAATGAAACTGCAGTGACTTTGTAGTTTCATTTATATGAAGTAATCTGTTGTCCACAATTAAACACAATAAAGAGGAACATTTGGTAAGCGTTATTCTGACTCTTCTTTTGGAACATACTTGTAGGCTGCAGTTGGAATTGATACTCAGACCATTTACCATAAAGGTAAAAGTGAAGAACTTCTCAACCAAGCCATGGAGCTACAACGGACAGCAGATGACAGTAAATATACATCCTCTCTACTTTCCCAGTCAGTTTATAAGCGTGCACGTTAAAATGAATTCCAAAAGCACATGACTAAAGCAGAACTGCTGCTGTAACAGAATAGTTCAAAGTTACCACACAAAGTACTTGAAATGGCCACAGGCACAGTTAGAGTAGTTCCTGGGTTGTCATCCTGCCAGACACCGAAAGTTTATTTCATTTACAAAAGGACCATTTCAGATACAACCACTGTTTAAATATGTGTTCCCGCAAACGGTTGTTCACAGGTAAATATACTCAACCAAGTAGTTCAACTGAAATCAATTCACAATAGTTTAACTCTTCAGAAAGCTGGATTTCACTAGCGAAGGATAATAATAAGTTAAAGGATTTTGGCCTCTTTTTCACTGAAAATGACAGAAAGCTCTAAAATTACAGAAATGACCTCTTCAATTTTTCAGAACCTTTTGAGTTCCTTAAAACTTTTCCTGTATACTTATTGCAGCTATTCTCAGCAGTGCTGGTAAAGCAAAGAGAGATAGTACCGACTGAGATACAGGTCTCCAGATTTTTCTAAAAGAAGACCTGTGGCAAGCAAATAATGGCTGGGAGCTGCAAGGTTGAGTTTTCCTTTCGATTATGTGAAGTCCAGAGTGCTAGTATGCCCTATACTAAAAGGGGCTATAGTATACTGCCTATGCTGCGTTAAATGCTTAATAACATACCTCCACAGGATAAAATTTACCTTTCTAAATGCCACTTCAGTGCCACCCAACTATACCTCCTCTTTTCTCCCCACAGGTAACGATTTAACCATTGCAGACACTAGCCGGCATGTTAATGGCACTCTTGCCAGAATGAATGTTCTGCGAAGCCAACTGATGAGAGCCATCACAAACATGCAATCAGCAGAGCCAGGTTGTAAGAGGAACTTCACCTTTATGATACTTTATCTTCATGCATTTAAGAGCATATTTTATCTTTGCATGCGGTCTATGAAGTTGATATTAACATTTCAGTCCCAGAGCGGCCTAAAGGAATTTGACTGAAACTACAAGACCTAGACAGCAAACATCCAGCTTTAACACATTCATAGTGAAATTATATGTTTTGCCACCTGTAATTATTAACATTCTTCTTCATCCTCCTTACTACAATAGTCCTCTCCCATGCTACTCTTGATGTTTCCAGGAGAATCTACAAGTCTGTGGATTTATTATTGTAATGATAATCAAAATCTAATTCACATATACATGACACCTGGAAAATAGAGTATTTGGGAGGTAATTACTGGCAGTCTTGATTAACAAAATCTCACCTTAATTTTTCAGAAAAGAGCATCATAGCGCATCCAGCAAGTATATCTGAAGGTGTTCAAAGTTGACACGTCAAGATTTCTTCATCAACTTTGACTAAAAATGGCTGGGTTTTACTGCTGAGACATGATCATATGCAAAATGCCACAGGTTTTACAAATATAGTAGTTGGTAACTCAAAAAAATTAAACACCAAAATTCCAGATATGAAAAAAAAAACAACCCCACACTTCAGTGTCTTGGGTTTCTTGCCTTCAGAAATAACTTTCATGAAAAATATTCAACAAATACGTGCATTTGCTTTTAAAAACTGGATGAAAAACAATGTATTTTTTCATCTCTATTCCAACTTCCCTGGCTATATAACACTCATCAAAATCCTAACAATCTAGAATGGAAATGACAATTTGTTAAATTTTAAGAATTAATATAAGTGTAGACCAACCACAGGAAGTTTTCAGTATTTCCTGTGGAGATAGATAAAGAGAAAACCAACCAAGCAAGGTTGGGTCCCTGTTCTGCAGAAGGTAAAATCCCCTGAGCCTCACCATTTTCTATGTACTGTTTACAGCTTGCTTGAAGCTTTGAAAGAGTCCATTTCTTCTCATCCCCTATTTATTTTCTAGTGGAGGCCAGAGAGCGTTTGGAGCAAGCTAAACTGAAGACTGAAGAGGCCGTGAGTGCTACCATGACAGTAACACAGGCTACGACCCCCATGCATGAGAACGTGAGGTTGTGGTCTCAGAACGTGCAAGACTTCCAGCACAATTCAGCAGCGTACGACAGTGCTGTGCATTCAGCTGGGGATGCAGGTATGGTCACCTGAATTTTGTCATTCCTCTTAGCATTAAAAGGTCAGGAAATCATCACAACATCACGTTGTAAGAATCGTTTACGTTGCATATTCATTGCATATAATCTTCCAGCATTTTACCTCCAGGAAAACATTTCAAAAACTAGCAGTTTTCTAGAGTGTCGTGACTGTACTTTAAAACTTTTGGATACTTGGGCATTTCCAAAAATGACTTCAACACTCAAGGGCTGAAGTCTTTTTGGCTTTTAAGTAGTTTTATTAGCATACCAAGGTCACACTGAACAGTAAACAGCTTGTTTAAATACTTCTCAGTATTATGATTGGCGGTTCAGTTATTTTTGTAACATTGGGAAGCATTTGAAAACAGGGCCCCTTTGTCCTTGATAGTACAAACATGGAGGAGAAATGGTCCCTGACTTGATGAGCTTGTAGTCTAAACAAAAGGGACAAAGAGGATTAGGGAAGAAATACAGTATTTCAGCAGGGTGATTGCTGGAAAAGCTTGTAAACACTGCATTAATTCCACTTTTATTATCGTGAGGAGGAAGATTAGAATAAAATTGGAATGTTTGTTATGAAAAATTTAAGGCAAATAAAAAGACAAAAGAAAAACTGAGGAAGGCTACAAAATTGAAATGAAGATGATAAGAAGGAGTGGGAAAAGAGGCAGGGAGAGTGAAGCTGGAATGTAGTGACTGGTGAAAGAATGAAAAGAACAATTAGGAAAGAAAAGAATCAAGCTAGAAATGAAAATACCCACAATAAAAAATTGCTGACAAGCACCACTATTTATTGCTCAATGTATGACTTTGCTCAGGAGGCTCACTCATCCCAAGTTATTCACAACTAGGGAAGCTGGAAATCCAGAATAAGAAATGTCCTGCATACATTTTGTGATATGTACCATCACCTGCAGCACTGTTCAGTGATGTCTTGCCTCCTGAAAGTGTCTCAAAGAAGATTCGTAACTCCACTGACTCTATCTCCATAAAGTTTGAATCTCAGATCTACTTCCCCAAATCCCTTGTTCTGTCAGGAGCTTTGACACTTGAGTGTCATTTTACTGCAAATGGTGTTGTAAGTACCAACCAACACAGGTTTTAGTGCTCTGAAGCCACACTCTTCCCTCTAGACCAGGGAAACCCAAGAGTCATGTTATTTCCAGAATGGAAATTCAGTAATGGATAAGACCCTCACACTAATATTTTTAGTTAAGTGAGTGCTCCCAAGAACTGGTATGAAAGAAGAAGAAATTCAGTACTATTGAATATCCCAACTTCTGTCTCCAGAACTGGAGGGAACTCACATTTTCCTGAGCTTTTCATCCCAAGGAAACACTGAGCCACTCCCTCTAGCAATGGGTAAGCTCACTGCTAGTCACTGCACAGAGCTTCGTAAGGGTGTAGTAAATATAGCAGTAGTTGTATTGCATTGCTGTAAAATGGTTTTGATCACCACAGAGCACAGTTTAGGCTGTGGGCTATGGGCTCCAACTCCCATTTAAGGTAACGTAAATGTGGATATGACTGGCATCCAGAGAGAGAATGGTATGAGGAAAAACATCTAAGAGAAACAGTCTACTGTAGCTTACACATGAAGGTTATTGTTCTTACTCACCTTTACACTTGATTTACATTTAACATTTACCAGTGCCAGCTTAGTAGACAGAGCAGCAACACAAAATGCATTTGGCTCTTCATGCTCAAAATGTCAGCAGACATTCAGGATTCAAAAAATCTGCTCATACTAGCTGTTATACTGGAAGAAATATTTCCAGTAGCATTTGAGAGGCTCCATAAGGGTGGATAGACCTAAGATGGCCCAGCTGTCCTAGTCGGTTATGTTCCCAAAAAGGCATGCATGGTACATGCACCACGAGTTGTAAAGAACAGTTGAGCTCCTATGTGATGTGTCTTCTCTGTGGTAGTGGGTTTGCAGGTAGGGAGTCACCTTGAAAGTATTCTGATCATATCAGAGTGCCTGGAGGGCCTGCTGACACAAACTGTTTGAGAGATGCTAATACAAACTACAGTGATGTGTGGCCTACTACACTTGTGGAGGCTGCTTTTCCATGGCATTTTTGGTCCGAAGGCCAACATTTTATTTTTGTTTTAAGGCACAATGACTTTTTTTCCAGAAAGATCAAGTGGAAACAGCTGAGAAGACAGATCAGTGCTGCAAAGGAGGCTGGCATGGGTAGCGCCAGATGTGACTGTGATTCACAGCCTGGGAAGACAGATGTACGCATGCCGGGGCACGGCGGAGTGCTCTCAGATCAGCTGTGTATGTTGCCAGGAGATGTTGATCTGGCAGAAGGAATGTCTATCAAAGTCCAAAAGAAAGTGACAAAAAATGTTCAGAGAGGTGCCTGAAACACCAATCATGCCAATAATGCTACCACGGCAGGTGAAGCCTCTAAGCTGGCTTGTCTGGATTGCCTTTGAATACAGTTTGCACTTGATTTTTGGAAGGGTGAGAGCATGTCATGGCTGTGCAGTTTGCCTGAGAATACTCCATGTCACCATTGTGCAGGGAACTGGTGGGCTTCAGCAGAGAGGGTGAAAGACAGTTAGGGAAGGAAAACACAAAAGGAGAAAGTGTATGGAAAGTTATAGTCAAAGTATTTCCTCCTTGACACTTTCCCTTGCGTTCTTTTTTGTATTTTATCACTGGGTATGACTAGTTTTCCTTTTTCACCCTGACCTTCATTCCAAAGACTAAAATAAAAAATTAATATTCTTCTGTGTTGAAGAATGTCATGATAAAGGACAAGAGGAAGAGATTTATGGTGAGACTTTATAATAGTACTAGTAGTAATAGATGTTAGTTTTGTGTTTTCATGTAACAGTTATGTTTCAAGTTTAATACTTCAAATTTCAAACAGATGAAAAGCCAGTTTTTCAAGATATCAGATCAGACACAATTCCAATTCAGTTTCTGAAAAAAAGGTGCTGGAAATTTGCTAAATCACTTTTTGAGCTTGCAATTTTACTTTAAGAATAATGTGAGCTTTTTTCCAATAACATGGAACATTCATTACAAAAGGCAGAGACAACTTTCTGTAAGTTGATTATTATACTAGTTATTTAAGTAGAAATTTGAATGCATTCTAGAATTAATGTGTTACCAGAATTCATTGTAGTTCTTCAAAGATTTGCTAAAATAATGGCATTTTAATGTACAGTAAGCTTTCTATAGAATATCTGATTACTGACCCCCAGCACATAAGGTCTTTCAGGACTTAATGGGAATAATGGGAGAAGCTAAATGGCCCACTCCTACACTGGACCTGGAAAGTAAAACACAAGTGGAAAGAGCCAAGCAGAGAGCGGGCAGGACTGTGGCAAATATAGCTTTTCACTCTATCCACAAAGAAGCGGGACTTGTAGGACTCCATGGGATCTTCTCATACTCTGGGTTGCTCTAAGCGAGGCTGAGCTGCTTCAGCCTTTAGTCAACAAAGAACTGGAAGCACCAAAAGGTGACTGGAGGCTACGCTTCCTTCCTTCTTTCCCTTCTGTACAGTCTCAGTACATCTGAGGATTAGCCTCTCTACCTGTATCTCTGATATCTTCTCAGACAAGAGTAAAAATATGAAGAACACAAGAGCAGGCAGACGCAAGTTGACAGCCCCTAAAATATAACTGCAAACCCTACAAATCTGGTCTTAACCTTTATAGCGAAGCCAGAAGCCATGTCATTAAAAATTAACTACGAATACTAGATCCTTCTTATATACATGTAGCTTGTAGCTAAAATCACATTTCATTATGCTCAGCTAGTTGTACCTACACCTAATTAAAGATGAAAAATGATGTGACGTGTAAATATCCTTCAAAGGGCAGCATGTTGTTGGAATCTGATGTGATGAAATTGGATTATAATTAGGGGTAGTTATTTTTCTTTCTTGGTAATTTTTCTGTCTGCTTATGTTTCTGGGAAAGGACTTCTCTCCCTTTGAACACAACAAAGCACCTGCATCTCCCTTTGACAACAATCCTACTTGCACATGTACCAGAAGACACAGCGATGAAAGACCAAAGGACTCTGATTCATGACCCCTGCAGATGTAGGCAGGAAAGCTGAAGAGGTTACCGCTCCCAGGTGGGGCAGGTAGTAAGCACAGTTTAGGTGCACATGCCGCACCAGCTAAGGTTTTCTGCTGTTGTACCATATGGGCCTGTTACTGCAGTCTGAAAGCAGCAATGTTTCTGTTAACAGTGGGCTGTGAACCACACACAGACACATCACCTGTGCAGCTGTTGCTGCTACCTGGGTGATAACCTCTGGAAGAGATGCACAGCTGACAGCCTACTCATCTCCCCTAAAACGAATCTGAAGAGCCATAGCTCCTAGATGCAGTTCCCAAGTCAGCCACAGATATCGAGTGAGGTGCTGAACAAATAATCCTTCTGCTCCAGTTGCCTTATCTGTAAAATTTGGTTTGTTTTTCTGCCTTGAAGAAAGATGAAAAGGTTAAAATTATTAACATTTGCAAAGCTCCTTGAGGAAAGTATTACAGAGGTACAACACCACAGTAGTACCTAGGAGTCCCATGAAAAAACAGTCTCCTTTGTGCGAACTTCTTTCCAAAAACTTCTGCAATACTAGATTCTGATAAATCACCACCCTTTCGGAAATCACTGCCTCTCGCACACCACAGTTAGAACTTGTTCTTGAAGCAGACACAGATAGGTGAGTTAATCTAAGAGGGTAAGGAGGAATTTTCCTGATGCAAAACCAGTGTTACAAAGCAGAAAAAAACCAAGCTGTCACTTCTTTTCTAACTGCAGTGAGAAAACTTACAGAAGTCTTCCCTCAGCTCCTGGACAAACTGCGCAGAGTAGAACAGAAGGCACCAGCAAACAATATTTCTTCCAGCATTCAGCGGATCAGAGAGATAATTGCTCAAACCAGGAGTGTAGCAAGCAAGGTAAAACTTTTGGATGGGACTTTTGGTTACTAGTGCTAATAATCTTACTAGGAGCTGCATTTTCATGGGCTGTCAGAAGCCCAAACCTTGACATTATCTCCTCTCAACAACTGGATAAACAAAGTACCGTGGCAGTCATTAAAATCTTTACAGTCGCTATTTGCAAGCAATTAACATTACCATGGTATTCATGGTAGACTACTGCTACTGTAGTAGCAACTTTAATTAAGTAATTGGCACAGTGTTAAAGATGGCCACAATAACAAAACCATTTAAAGCTAAAACTAATAAGTCATTACTCAGCTAGCAACATTAGTTACAAGCAGTAGTAATTAAGGCAATTTAATGCAAAATTTTCTGAGATGACAGTATTTCCTTTTTTCTTTTGAATTAATTTTCTGCAGGGTAAGAGAATCTTTAGCTGATACATATTTAATAGAGAAAACCACTTTCATTATCATACATAAATTATGAGGGATTTTTCTGTAACAAGAACACTGAGGTCAAAAATTAAAACAGTATATTTGAATTGATTCAGAGAAAGAAATCAAAAATTCAGTGCATTATTGTATGTTCACAATGTTGGAATATGATGTCCACATACATAACTTCAAAAAAGTAAAGCAAAATTCACTTAGTATGTGTGCAGTGCTTGACTGTTCTTCAAATGTATTTTGTCATTCAGGCATATTGCGCTTAAACTTGAAAACATTATTTCAGTTATGTTGAACGCATTTTGAACTAAAATGAACATGGTTTAAAATTTTATTAGCATCTCATATATATCACTGTAACTTCAGTAATATAACAGGATTACTTGTGAACAGAAAATTGGTCATGCTACTCCCAAAGCAAAGAAATAAATTATGGGTAGAAGTTTTATAGCTATGTAAGAATTTCATTATGTGCCACATAATTCAACTAAGGACACATCTATGTCCCACTGAAATTTAATTTACTTTATGAATATGCTTAAGCACAGTTAATTAGGAGCTTTAATTAATTTTAAAATTAATTCCCTTCATATTCTTTACAGTGTCTTCCAGAAGTGATTATCATAAACATACAATTTTCATGGTCAATATATACATGCCAACTCCGCTCTTGCAGTAAGCAAGGCTGCTGTCTAAGTGTTCTTGCACATTTACTTTAAGTAATGTCCCCAGGTAGCAATAAGGTGTCTCACTTAGCACACTTGCAACTGCAGGTCCAAGTTTCTATGATGTTTGGAGGCCAATCAGCTGTTGAAGTCAATCCAAAGATCAACGTGGAGGAACTGAAATCTTTCACTTCCATGAGCTTGTACATAAAGCTTCAGAAAGACAACCCAGAACTGGCAGCATCTCCAGACAGATTTATTTTGTACCTCGGAAACAAAAATGTAAGAGAATAACTCAATTTATATTAATATATATTTTTTAAAAAGTTTATTTTCCCTTTGTTTTTCCTCTGTTTCTCCAATTTTCAAAATAAGAGGTGTGTACTATATGACTGTCATTGATTTTGTGACAAGCAAAGAGCAAGGGTTCCCGAGACCTCTGTCCTTGAAACTTGTCACCCCAAACAATGAAGGATTCTCTCTAAGAAGCAAATTAGACTGCCTATGCAGCATGCTGCTGTGATTGTCACTGCTGCAAGCCACCTCCATTGCCGGTGCTGAGGTGCTCTGAAGCAGTTAATGTCACCCGCCTGGCTTTTGTGGGCCACATTTTAATCAGGTTTATGCTGCTGAGAGTGCCAATTCCAAATCCCTGAGGTCACAGGCCCACAAGATAAGCAGGTTTCTTTGCCTGTGGCTTTTGCTGCTGTTGCACACTCTGTACATCACTACTTTGAAACACCTAGAAAGAGCATATATTCTCACCACCTGTAAGTATTGTAAAACAATTGTTCTTGAAATTGTGGTTCCTAAACAGAAAAAAAAAGCACACCTCACAAGCCAGGTATAATCTTGGCAAGCTGTTACTCAGGAAGGGTAAAGAGGCAGGCTTTTCTTTTTAAGCTTTTCTAAAAAGAATTTCTACTGAATACAAATCAAGTGAAACCCCTCTTGGCAGAATATTTAATTGCAGCATAATACCTAGGCTTTAGACAAACATTTCTTCTTATTTCCTGCATATGACACTGTACACTAAATACTCATGAACAGCTTCCCATTGAACATGACCAATTTACGGTCAGAAGGCATCTCATGACCTTGTATTTACCTCAGTCAAAATGAAGTAAAATATCAGAGACTTTTTCTGAACAGTTCCATCTGGTGAAAGAAAGTAATTAGAGAACGAAGCTTTTTTTATTAGTTATATTTAAAGGTGTCATTTAGTCTATGAAAGCAGATCCATTACTAATATTCTGTATTAAACCTCTTTTGATGTTGTAGCTCTGACATCCTTCTCCATTGGTGTTTTAGGCAAAAAATTACATTGGCCTTGCAATTAAAAATGACAACCTTGTGTACATTTACAATCTGGGGGACCAAGACATGGAGATACCTCTGGATGCAAAGCCAGTCAGCACCTGGCCTTCTTACTTCAGCATCATCAAAATTGAGAGGTAAAGTGACAATGTACATTTCCCCAAAATCAAACAGTTAATAGAAAAAAAATTGAGCAGAAAAGGCTGGGCCAGAACTAGTCATCAGTAGTCTTCAGTGCCTGGTTCTATTCCTGCTACTCTTTGCTTTCAGAGGGCCAGGACCCAAGGGGCCACCAGGGGGAAGAGAAAGCATCCGTAGTTTCTCTCCTTCTTTTCCCCCAGAGTACCAGTCTTGTAGTGAGGAAATAAAAAACATTCCTGGAGTTGGAGGCTTGCTTGTTCTTTTTTAAGTCTAGCCAACACGAAACTCTCTTCTCTTACAATTCCCTTCTACAGGATTGGAAGACATGGCAAAATGTTTTTAACTGTGCCCAGTCTTAGCAGCACAGCTGAAGAAAAATTCATCAAAAAGGGAGAGGTTCTTGGTCCTGGCTCTCTCCTGAATTTGGAACCTGAAAATGCTGTTTTCTACGTTGGCGGAGTGCCTCCAGACTTCAAGGTTGGTCAGATAAATACTCTATATTCAAAATTATATAATGCAAACTTACCTTGCTGGACGTCCCTTTAAACACAGAAATGGTTAATAACTAAAATGTTCTTTTAGTCATTTATCATCTTAGGACTCCATCTTCTAGCCTTGGTGAACACTACTATTTTCTTGAGCATATCATGTAATGCAGTAGGATGATCAGATTCCTGTTAGCTGTCATTCGTCATTCAGGTTTTCTAAAATGTAATAACAAGAAAAAAGTTTGCTAGCTGTTAAGTAGTATGCATAAATTAAGGCCTGTTAGCCCAGCTTAACAATCTTTGCATGCTACCAGGTTTTTTCAATGCTAATGTGTTCTTGGTGCTTACAGTTTCTCCTTTACAACTATCACAGAGATGAAAAATAATGTATTGCTAATATTAGGACAATGTGGGAAACTAGCAATATAGTGATTTGTTTGAATTTAAATTATCATTGGTTTAAATCCAGCCTTACAAGAACATGAAGACTTGCCTGTGCAAAACATGCCTGAAGATCTGTGTGAGACAGTTGCTTCAGTCTAGTTCCTAGTAGTCAGCATGAATTAGCACCTCACTTACCTGCTTCTGTGAACATACCAGGTGCTCTTTTTGGAATTAGAAGTTGTTATGAATGATCTTGGCTATGAAAATGGCATAGCTGAATGAAAACGTACTTAGAAAAGACTTCAGAGAATGCTAAATTCTTTAAGCTAACTGTAGCAGGTGCTAAAAACATCCAACTACTGTTCTACAAGGAGCCTTCCTAACAATATAAAAACAAAGATTAACTCAATACACTTACGTATTCCTGAGCTTTTGCATTGCTATGACTACCAGATGTATGCCATGGTTTGAATTTTAGATTACTGAGCCCTGGGTGCAAATTGCCTGGGAATAGGACTGAGGACTGAATAATAGTTGCACACTTACACACAAAAAGTAATCCAGCAAATGAACCCTCCAGGTCTGTTCCAGAGCAGAGCAGAGGAAAAGGAAAAGAGCAAAGTGAAGGAAGGTGAGAAGGGGAATTGGAAGAAAAGGATTCATGGAATTATTTGATAAGCATACGGCTATCTTCTCTCTTAGGAATCAGCACCACACATTTTCATTTATTAACATACAGTCTTATTTGCTAAAAGCTTTTGCCTTTTCTTCCCTGTTACATACTTTGTAAATATGAAACGTACCACTTAACCATTAGAAGTCTCACACTGAACATAATTTAACAGAATAGTAGAAGAAACAAAGGAAAAAAAGGAAACATAATCATTTACCAAATGTATCTGTGCTGCAGATAAGAATCTCATTTTCTCTTACAGCTACACATATTCTGCACTGCTGTATTACCATTATTATTATATTGTAAGCAAAATGGAAATAATGAGAAGCCAAAGAAAAGTTACTGGCAGTGATCAGACTCTGAAGTAGAAGAGGTGTTATTAATATCACACCTGTTCCACAGGGCAGAGTATTTTAATATTAAAAGAATGATTCACTAGCTCTGTCAGCTTTATTCTTTTGTATTTTTCCCCTTACCAATGTGGCTATTTAAATTCCATTTGCAGTGACTTTTGTTAAAAGAAGGAGTTTCTATATCCTGCTAACTGTTCAAAATGATACCTAGTGAGGATTAGCCACTGGTACAGACTTTGAATCCAAGTCTCCTGGGTTTAAAGAGCTCTCTCATTTCTCTCTCTTTCATCACACTATGAAGTTATTTTTCTGGCAGTGAAGGATGTCTATACATTAGATATGAAATATCTACTGAGAGATTTAAACACACTGAGCAAGATCTGTGATTAGTCAAATCTTAACCCTTTTCTCCAAGTGTCCTCCCTTCAAAACCACAAAAGAAGTTTTTGTTTGCCTTACCTGGCCCAATGTTCTCACTGTGACACCATTTATGTGTGCCATTTGAACTTACAGCACAATGGCCATATCATGATAAGGACTGCAAAGACTATTCCAAGGTAGCATCATCCCATTTGTTTCGAAATACGAAGAGCACAATGACAAAACTGACCCCAGGCACAAATGCTATCATGTATCCAAATAGTGTGACTTTTCTCCTTTTACTTTTCCTTGCCCTCTGCACAGCTTCCTCCTAGTTTAAACCTGCCTGGCTTCATCGGTTGCCTGGAACTGGCTACCCTGAACGATGATGTGATCAGCCTATACAACTTCAAGCACGTCTATAACATCGACACCACCACATCGCCACCTTGTGCCAGGTAGGGGACAGTCCCACCGTCACTCTGCTGCTCTGGTTTGTTGCAAGTGCCAGTCCTGGTGGTTCGTTCCTGGTTTAAATTACAAACGTGAAGGTGATATTGAGTTGTCCAGAAGGAACTTGGCCACTTTTAACTCCTAGTTGCGTCAACAAGTTGATTTTATGTGTGTGTGTATATATATATGGGAGTTGGACTCGATGATCCTTAGGGGTCCCTTCCAGCTCGAGGTATTCCATGATTTGCTGCTGTCTCCATTAACTATCTCACAACCTTGCTCATGCCTTTGAAAGAGAAACTGCCGTGTCGCCCAGGGCACGGTCCAGGCTCCCTGCTTACCTCGCTGCTTGCCTAGGACAGGACTGCTCCTGACTCGGATCCTGTCACTGCAAGTGATACAGCCACAGCCAGTTAGCTCCAGCGGGCCTGGTAAACTTGAGCACAGTCCCACCCTCAGCTAGCAAAGCCCATACAGAAGTTATCTTCGTTTAGCGCAGACATAGTAGGAATTTTGTTCATACAACAGGCAGCAACAGTAGAATCTCTGTATACAAAGAACAGGAGAGAAACATGCAGCTTTCGCTGAGAAGAAATGCAGGAGGTGTTGGGACAGAGCAAATGATTGCTTCCCACGCCATTCCCACAGGGAGCACAAGCTGCTGCTCTCCAGGACAGGGCATGCGGGTGGCTCCTGGGCTCCCTGGCAGAGCCCATGCTCAGGTAAAGGCCTTGGAGAATTCAAATGGGTCTCTGCACAAACTGGACAAGCTGTTAGTAGAAAGATATGTGTACCCTTATAATGAGGAGGTGTTGTGGGCCTGCTACCTTACAAGGGTGAGCAAAGAATTTTCCTGTCCTCTACACAAAACACAGGATAAAAGCAAGATGTAATGATGAATGGGTTAGATACACTTTCAAACCTAGACACCATTTTTCAGAAAAAACTCCCAGAAAGAATTTGAAAGACAGTCATCAGAATCACTGCTGCCAGGACGAAGCAGCAGTTCAGAACAATTATTTCAAGAAAGTATTTTAATTGTAAGCACTTTCAAATTTCCCCAAATTCAAATGGGGATATGCCAAATATTACTTCCCTGCTTGTTTTTTCATAGAAATAAGTTGGCTTTCACTCAGAGCCGGGCTGTGAGCTATTTCTTTGACGGCTCTGGCTATGCCTTGGCAAGAAACATTGAGAGAAGGGGAAGATTCAGCCAGGTGACTCGGTTTGACATAGAAGTTCGAACACCTACAGACAACGGATTGATCCTGCTGATGATTAATGGGGTGAGTACCAAATCCTGCTGGTACCCTTATCCATGAGCACCTCAAGTTCCCCAATACTCACAATATCATGGAAAATCCAAAATGCTTATGTCCTTACATTTACCTTCTGGAAAGAGGAAATACTCTGTGTTCGTCTGGTGCATGCAAACATTGGGAGGGAACTGGAACTTGCTCCACAAAGGCCCCAAGAAGCTAGGGCCCTGAGCTGGATTCTGCTGTCATCCAGAGACAGTCAGGACTTCAGACCTGTCCTTGTGATGACATTTTGAGAGAGAATCCAGTTAAGCCCAATAGTTGCACCTTTATTTAAATATGAATGCACAAGCAAAGCAATAGGAAATTTCTGTGAAGTAACTCCCATAAAGCAGCCACTTTGTGGTAGCTGACACTTTATAACTGTGTCTCGGGGTGTTCTAGAGTTAAATATTTATTTAAGATACTGAAAATAGAAAGAAGTCCAAATAAAAAGGCTTGATCCAAATATCAACAGCTTTTCAGAAGTTTGAGGGTGATGCAAACTCTGTGAGGGTTTGAAGAAAGTAGACTCCACATGCAAATTTCCTCTGAAGACAAACTCGGGGTTTTTTGTCTTTGGGTATCTCCACATCAAGCTGCCAAGTCCTGTGTGGATTACAAGGTGGTAAAGCCACAGAAAACATTTTACTAAGTAGATGGAGTCCACAGACATATACTTGTCTAGACACCTACATATACCACCGCATTGAGCATTTAGAAGAGAAAAAAAATCCCCATTATAAGAGTTACTCTCTAGTGTTTGCCTTTGGGGTAACTTCCAGAGGAGAGTTGTGGGGAGCAATTTGCTCTGCAGCATAGCATGCCACCACTAACCTTTGCTCTTAGGAGGTTTTGGACTAAGCAACTGCTGTTAAAAGCTTAACAGCCTCTACTGCAGATCAGTCATTTTTCTTCCAAGCAAAAGTGCCCAGAGGTTTGTGTGTTATGGTGGAAATTGCAATCAAGTTGGATGTTAGCTGTGGAAGACCATGCCTGCTCACAGGCACTTTTAGAAAGACTGTGTAAGCCGGCCCATTATTCAGTTCTGCAAAGATAGCTCATAAATATTCTGAATGTAATCCCTGCTTCATTTTCAAGTTTAAGCTGTTCAAAACAAACCCAAGCTACAGTTTCATTTAAAAGCACTAGATTAAAACCTACTTTTACTACTTTAAGTAATGACTTCGGAAAGCGGACTCATTTGTGTCAGAGAGAGCAGTTCTTGGCCTGCAGTAGTTTTTTGAGAATTATTGTTCCCATGTTTACATTAGGGAACAACAGCATGAACACTAGAAGACAAACATTAGCATTAAAAGCATTAACCCAGTTGCTGTAACCTGTCCTTTCTGCTTCTTTATGTTCAGTTTTGGAACAAGACTAATTCTGTGGTACAGATCTTCATTTCAAGCACTCCCTAAAGATCTTCTAAAGTATTTAGAATAATCTTCCTGTTTATAAAGTTTAGGTCACCCAGCCACAGAACAGAAGCCAAACCATGAAGCAGGAATAGTTAGGAAATACAGAAACCAAATACACAGTAAATTCACTCTACCTATCACTCAGCCTTCAGTAAATACATCAGTGCTGATGAGCTGTGAAAAGATATAATCCTGAGCTATTACAGGCGCTGTGACAGAAGCTGCTAATGCAGATACAGCCATTCTAGCACAACATTGCTTTTACCAGTATAACATTTTTCATTTGGGGCATATGGCATTACTTCGACAGTAAATAGCTGTGTTTGCATTAGGAATACTTTGTTGGTAAAGAATATTGACATTACTGTGCTACCAAATACTAGTCGTACAGGGAAACAGTTCACCAAGTCTTCAAATAAGTGCTGTTTATCAAACAATTATGTGTGCATGTGTGTCTATACATATATATTATATATATAAAAATAATCCAGAAACCGTGTTATAGTTTTTCAAATAAAAAGATATTTTCTCAGCATGCTTTTTACAATGTCAGACACTGTCATAACAATGTTTATTAATTTTTTTAAATTGCTGCCACTATCAGAGTGCTCTTCTCACTGCTGTTTTATTTTATACAGAGTATGTTCTTCAGTCTAGAGATGCACAATGGTTTCTTGCACCTCCGCTATGACTTTGGCTTCAGCACCGGCCCTATGCTGCTAGAGGACTCCATGAAGAAGGCTCAGATTAACGACGCTAAATTTCATGAGGTAGAGATGCAGTTACAATCACAGCCATTCGACAACTATCCCAGCAGCTCCAAAGCAGCAATAGTTTTCTCCAACACCAATGGAAGGAGCAAAAGGATGAGGGGCCAGGTGCTGATGCAGTAGAGCAGGCAGAAGAGTAGAGCGCATGCCTGCCTTGCATGCAAAAGGGCACATTCAAGTCCCACCACTACTGAGTGGTGGAAAGGGAAGGCTCTCCCTGCCTCCTGGTAAATCAGCGCTTGTGGAAAGATTCTGTGTATTACTAGCCAAGGTCAGGACAGTTCAAGTGGGAGAAAAAGTGTTATTAATTCAAAATGAAATTATATCCAGGACAAGTATATCTTTCAAATATACAACTCTCCTCAACTAAAAACATGTCATCTTAGTTGTTATGCATTGTATTACAAGAAATATTGCATTTCCCATTTCATTTGAAGGGAGAATTAATTTGGTAGCAGTCTTTTACATATGCATAGTATTTTTGAGGCTTGAGCTGATCTAAAATATCAAAGTCTGATTCCTGATCCACAATCACAGATACAGTTCTGTTCAACATGCTTAAGCAGAGCACAAGTAAGCCTTTTATGCTTTGACAATGAAATAAGTTTTTTAAGAAGTATGCCCTAACTTCTTGGATAAATCAAGAAAGCACTCTGAAGTTAATGGAGCTTATCTGCTGCAGTATTTGACATGGTGTACTTTCATGTGGATTTATTCCTAAGTGAAATATCCTGGGGTCTCAGTAATCAGAGAAATCATGACATCAAAATAAGCTCCCTAATAGTAATTGTTGTCAGCCTCTTCTGATTTACAAACAACTTCTTTGATAAATGGGAGGAACTTTTCAAACAAAAAGATATAAAGGAGCAATCAATTTTGCAAAATCACCATGACAACTTACAAAAGATAGTATTTTGGACACTTTTAAGCACATGCTTTTGTTTTCAGATTTCTATTATATATCACAATTCTAAGAAGATGATCTTGGTAGTAGACAGGCGACATATAAAAAGTGTGGACAATGAAAGAACAGCAATGCCATTCACAGACATCTACATTGGAGGAGCGCCTGCTGAGATCTTGCACTCCAGGTTGGTTTACAGCTGGGATTCAATCATTATCTTCAAGTAATCGCCATATTTAAGTTGTATGACCTGTGCTGAAGGGCTTACAATGAAACATTTTTCCCAGCCTCAACACCTTATGTAAAACAACCCCTCAGACATTCTTCTAAGTGTCTCTCAGAGCTCTCAAGTACCAAGGACTAGGCTTGATCCAGCACAGGTAAATTCTGCTGAAACCAGTCTAGTTTTAGTAAGGGTAATAGAAACTGTCAACTTCTTAAAACAAAAAGGCTTTTTCAAAAACCACATGAATATATAAAATCACTATTCCTCCTTGCTCTGCAAAAAGTGATCTTTGTAAGAGCAATGCACTAGCTGAAGGATCAAAACCCTCTACCAACCGCATTTTCAAATCTAAATTTGATCTTTTTACTAGTACACACTTCAGTTCTGATCCATCTCAGGTTGTCTCTAGACCCAAGTCAGCTGGCTCTGTGCAGGCGTGGGAAGAAAATAGAAAGTCTCATTTTCCCATCGTACCATTTGACAGAAGCCACGTTTAATCTCAGTAGACTGTATAACTCTCATTTCCTGCAGTGGGAATCTGCCAGACCAGGGTCACGCTCTGGGAGAGCAGACTGGCTGCTTGAAGAGGGGTATGCTTTTCTGACAGGCAATATTCATTCCAGGGGTCAGACAGCAAGGCCAGCATTTTCAGAAGGGCTCCAGATGCTGTTTCAAGTATCACAACCGCTAACAGAAATACCATCATCTCTTTCAAATATTCTCTACGTAAAAAAAAAAAAAAAAAAGAAGATAGCAAATATTGCACAATAGTTTCTAGGAATTAGTGGCAAATCTCCTGAAACATTTTTTTGTTGTCAGGAGAGCCTGTTGAATCAATAAATAATGTCTGAGATAGATATATAAAATACTTACAGATTAAGCTTTTAAGATAGGGACAAACTTCATGTAAAGGAAAATGGTGCCTTTCAATCCCATGTAATTATTTGAACATGCAAACAAAATGGTGGGCAAGGGAGAAACAGAGTATATAATTTATCTGGCTTTTCAAATAGTTCTTTACAACAGTCTGTCATAAGGGGCTATTAAGAAAACTAGTGGGGTGGAGAAGGGAAAGACTGCAGTGGATTAGAAAGCAGCTGGGAAAGAGAAAATAGGACATAGTAGTAACTCTTCAATTATCACCGTATAAAAGTCTACAGCACATGCCCAAAGGATCTGTCTTAGGGCTTGTATTAAATACATTAATGATCTAGAAACAAAGAACAAAACGATGGTGAAAATTACTTTGCTTAATCAAGCCTAGACAACACTGAAAAAGCCCTAGAAATCTGGGCAATTGAGCAACTCAATGGCAGATAAGACTTGTTCACAAACGTAGGATACAAGATGAATCACATAAATTATGCCCACAGTTTTCTGAGTGAATTGTGGTTATTCTGCAAAACACCTAGAAGGTACTGTCAAAGCAGGAAAAATAGCATCTCAATAAACAAGTTGTATCAGAAAAAATCCATAGGCATTGTAAAAATATGATCAGTTACAATATTGAAAAATGTGCACAGAAATTATTTAAGCGGAGCTACACCTTTGTCTTTGATTTTGAATTCAACTTTGGTTCTCATGACAAGGGTAGACAGCAAAAAGTACAGTCCAAATGTGGTGACATCATTTTCATCAGGAGCATAAGTCGGTATTAGAATTATATCATCTATTGATTATCTACTACAATCTCTCTACTACTACTATGTACTAATAATATTTAAGCTTCCTTTTTCTAGACAGACTTACATTTAACTGACATTGAGGGGGCAGCAGCAGGAGGGGAAACTAGCTCTAGTCTTAGAGGAGGAGTTTAATATTCTTTCAAAGCAATGTATTTTCAGTCACTGCAACAGCACTTTCCTCTGCCAATTGCCTTTTTTCCCCAAATAAATGAATCTGCAAGTACCACTATATGTTACTTTTCTCCCACCTCAGTCACTGCATAAAGCAGAAAGCTAAAGGGAGGAGGTAGGAGTACTGGGCGCTGGGAACTGTTAGAAACAAATTCAGAAGCCTTTCTTTAGGTTAAAGCCTATCGTCTATCTTCTATAGTTCTTGTTGCTCCTAGAAAATGTTAAGTTGATGGCATTTAACAGAAAGGCGTATTTGTGGCACCCAGCTAGTCTCATGGTCAATCAGAGTAGAGATTACGCTGGTTAACTGATAGCCCACACTTTGATACAAATCCCAGTAAGGATGGCAGGAGCCTTCCTGTTGATTTTGCCTTCCTGCTAAGATTAAGCCCCTACAGTGCTCCTCTTCTCACCTTATTTCAGACATGTACACGTACATCTGTGCTACTTCACTTGATGGTCCATTTTTGCCAATGTATAAAAATAAGCATTTCCAGAGCCTGATTGATCCATCACGTTTCAAATGTCTACCTTACAATAGATAACTCATAGACAACTAGCACAGAAGCAGATGTCAACACTGTCAGTATCATCTTGTGAGGTGAGAAGAATCCCATGGCTAAGGTACATCCTGTTGAAAGAACAAAGACCATTTACAGGTAGCCAGGTCAAAACTCCGGATTTCACATTCACTCCTTCAGTGTATTTGTTCCCTAGTTATCTCCTGGACTGGTACCCAGCAGATCCCATGTCATTTCCTTGCCCTGTCACAGACTCTGATTTTAGGCAAATTACTACTTCTTCATGCACCTTGAGTATTGTGAGGAGAAATTCAATTATGTTTGCCCTGTGCTGTAATGCTGTGATATCTTGGTGAGGAGTGGAGTTGAAAAACTTAAGAGCAGTGAGTAGGAGCAGTTGGGATACGCTGCTGTGCTCTCGACATCAAAAGGATCCTGGAAGCCCATCTACTGCTGTTATTTATGATTATGTAAACCCACTTGTCAGCAAGCAGAATTTGCTCTTACTTCCCTGACCTCTGTTATTATTGTTTGTTAAGAAATAGAGATCCATTCGCTTCCAAAGGCAAGAATGGAGCTTGCTAGTAAAAGCAAGACTAAACTAAACCAGAACTTTTCTAAAATGATAAAAAATGGAGATAGAAATCAATTGATTTTCACTGTAAGTGGGTAGAAATACATTTTGAAATAAGTGTTTTCATTTCAGCAGCTATTTTTATCTTTTTAAAGTTACTCTATATGGATCTCCTCTCTGAACTCCCATATATTTCCCCCCATAACATTTATTACAACAGGTGCATCCTGACTTTTCAAAAGATATAATGTGGTTAATTGGTTGTTTTACATAAAGATGCACGAATTGGGCATCAGTGAGGCAAATAATTGAGGCTCTTGTAAGTTCTTTCAGAACACCTTGGTGGTAAAAGTCTGTTCAGAAAGGCAAGGGCTATCTAACTGCAGTTTGTTTGGCATTGTTTTCCCACAGTATTAGCTCACATCTGGCAGGAAATATTGGCTTTAAAGGCTGCATGAAGGGTTTCCAGTTCCAAAAGAAGGATTTCAACTTGTTAGAAGAACCAGGAACCCTGGGAATCAGCTATGGATGCCCAGAGGATTCACTGGTAAGCATAACATCATTTGTGAGATAACAACAAAATTTTGGCAATGGATACAGCTGTGAGCTTGAGTTTTACTCCAAACAATGGAACGAAGTCTTCAACCAAGGAAATGACAATGCACTCATTGACTGGCAGGAGTGGGGTGTGGGGGTATATGTGTATGTGTATCTGTGTGTCTGTGTGTGTCTGTTAAGTCTGCTGACAGACTACCCAATTTTCACCCTGAATTACAGCACAAGGTGTTTCACTTGATATTCTTATCATATGTGAGATTGCAATGTGAAAGTTGGATCTGAAATAAATTGTGTGCTGTATTCTGTAAGGAAATATTCCAACGTAATTTGTTTTTTCTTAAAGAAACAAGGAGAATTGTCCTCACATGCATCCTAATACAGATGTTTGAAATGAAAAAGACATGAAGATATTCACTCTTTGAATGAGTTCTCCACTTAAGTCAGGCCAGCTCTTCCTCTGTAACAAACTAACTGCACCAACATTAACATTGAGAAAATTGCCATTTCATTTCTGATCCCTTCCATCATTCATCATTTTTCCATTACAATGCAAGGCCAGTAAATCTGAACAGTGTTTGTGGTCTTTATCCTATGGCCATGTCTATCCAAAGCCAGGCTGCAAACCTGTGAAGATGAAGGAGCCCACCACTTGCAGAACTCATCACACAATCTCACCCTCTGTCAACAAGGAAGCTAGCTGCAATTTGTCCTACCTCGGACCCAGTTTTACTCCTGAGACTCAGAGGGTTATAGACCACCATGTCCAACACCCACCCTGCTCTGCCCCAGCACTCAGTGCAGCAGCAAACTAATATATCATATATCACATGTTGAGACGGTGACTCAGTGCCACACGGCTCAGACATAGGCTTGAGCCTCCTCTGCTCCTAGTCTTCATGCTCACCAACATCAGCAGACTTAGGATGAGGTCAAGAATCCCAGGAAACTGAGAACAATTTGGCTTACACTGTCTAAAATGGCTACACTTAAGATTTTCACAGCGTGCAAGGGAAAGCCTATATAAATTAAGCTAAGACATGCAGGAAAAATGTAAGGTTTTATAGAACTGAACTGGATGCAATTTTAAAGAAAAAGAAACAGACTCATTCTTTTTACAATGTTTTCTGAGGTTTACTTGCAATTTTGTTTTATTTAACACACAGATGTCCCGCAAAGCATATTTCAATGGAGAGAGCTTCATTGCATCAAGCCAAAAAGTGTCCCTCTTTAGTGAATTTGAAGGAGGCTTTAATTTCCGGACATTGCAGCCCAATGGGCTGCTGTTTTACTACTCCGAAGGAGTGAGTATATATTTCTTTACAGTTTATTTTATCCTTGCATTGTTTCCCAGGACAATACTAGGGGAATAATATAATTTCTCACTTCATGGTTTCATAATAGAGAAAGCAGCCTGCTATATAGAAGCATTCATTGATGACCTCAGTTTCACAGTTTGCATTTGATCTACAGAAGAAAACCAGCAATGCTTAGACATTATGTTGATGTTGGGAAGAGGATTTGATCATACACCTAAAATTAACATGCATCCATTTGTGCTCAATAAAGTCCTTTGGGCAGAAATGCACCACGGATCTCACTGTGCTCAGCAGCACCGCAATCCCTACTTGGACCTGTAGGTGCTAGCAAAGTACAAATAATATTAAGGGCCTGACATTTTCCATCCGGAGACAATCCCCTAGAAGCAGAGACAAAGTTTGTTTGAATTAGTGGGATGGTATTTTGAGCATTGCTGAGTTGACAGAAATCAGTCAGAAAGCTGCCTCTGTTCCCAGATGGTACTTAGACCTCCATGTGTGACCGGGAAAAGCTACGCTTGAGAATGGCTCCTTGCAGCTACAGGAAACCAGGCTGCTCTAAATGCCCCCTCATAGGTGTGACAAGGGCAGAAACAGGGACTTGCACTCCCAAAATGTTGTGTGAGCCAAAGTGATTCCAAGATCCTGCAGGCTCAGACTGACGTCTGTCAGATGACAGACCATTTGCAACCACCCCCAAATGTCTGTTCTGCCATGCTTGCAGAAGATCATCAGCAGTGCAGCAGGGAAGGCTGTATGACACCGATAACCACTCCTGAATTTTTACATTTTACAGCCTGGAGTACTACCTTAAATTGAAATCAGTAACCATGCCCGTTATCCACATCGTTTGCATAAATGAGACCTTACACACACCACTTCTGGTTTTAACTCAAAAGCTCTAATCCTATGAGGTGCCAAGTGCCCTACTTAACAAATGGAGGTTCAGCTATTTAGCACTTCACAGAATGAGACAGGATGATGCCTGCCAGTGCACAGTGGCACTGCTTGCTCTAATGGAACAGACGAGATTTCTGCTATGCATCACTGTGATCCCATATGCCTGACACAGACAGCAGACCATATCCCTGAGATAATTTTGAGTGATTGAACGACTCTAATCAGAAGGAATTAGGAAAAGAAAAAAAAATGTATTGGTCTTATGACAGCAGGAGTCTTGCAGTAACAGCTACTCTATACAGTATGAGTGGTATCAGAAACATAAATGAAATGTAAACATCATATATCCGTGCTAGATGGAAGTTCATGTGACAGATACATGAGACATAATCAGCAGCAGAATTCCCAGAACTCAGGCTTAAAAAACAGCAAGAATATTAATTCTAATGAGATCATCTCCCGTTTCGCTTCTCAGTATACCTTTCTGCAAATAAAGCACCACTGGGGAAAACAGCAGGAA